GTCGAGCCGGCCCATTCGTGACGGAGCATGGCTCTCCTACACTTAAAAAATATTTAATTTAATCATTTTTACGCAATTACCGGTGTTGAAAGATGATAAACAGTATCTAATAGTAAATTATTTGAAACGCGTTGTTTTGTTAAGATACTTGCAAGAAACAGTTATTCCAATAAGTTAAGTAAGAGAGAAATTGCAAAGAAAAAGAAATTCGGGAAATGACGTGAGATTCAAGGAAAAAACGCATTTTGAGTAGCATATGAATATTGTTAGCACTTTTCTATGTGGGTGAGCGAAAAACCAAATCATATCTAGTTTATTGACATAATAAAATACTAGTATTATTGAATTATTAGATCTGAATTAGATGTGTTTATTGTTCATGCATGGGTGTTACACGAAATATTATGTGAAGTAAGAAATATATTCGATTGTAAGGAATTGTACGCCCACATGTACCGACGGTATTATTGTATTTTATTGAAAAAAGAACTTATGGCTTATGTATTTATGTTATATTATCGTTTAATCAGCTGTAAGTATAATTGTCTGACTGCATGGTTGGCGCGGTGATTGGGCAACTAGTTGCTGCCCGACGTGTAGCTAGTGTCTAACCGCCAAGCGATTGACATATAAGAAACCCGCGATTCAAAGAACAAGTGTTCCAACATTCGTTCATAGATGGTGCTTTTTATTTGAGATCGTTTTCTGAATCGCGGTGTTAAGATTCTCCGCCAATAGTATAAGTGTCTAAAGAATTTATTTTATGTCGGTATCAATTTGTCACGTGCTATTGTATCGTAATTTTTATTGTACAATAATTCGGAATACAAGTGTTCGGTAACCACGACCAAGTAGTTTTAGTCTTGTGCTTAATAGTTCGCGACTGAGATCACTCAGATCAGTTCGCCGCTCCTAAACGAACTAGTTCGCTCTTTTAGTTCGTCAGCTCCCGACTCTCAGTTGGAGTTGGAATTGGAATGAATCGTATAGGAACTAGGAAGGCACTGGTAGCCAAATCGCTCCCTAGTTCGTCAACTCCCGACTCAGCTCATGACTTTTCAAGTGAGATCTTAAGTTATCGCATTTTTTAGTTCGGTCTTCACCATAGACTATACATATAAACGACTTCACAATCCTTGTACTTGTACTTTGAAATACGAACTAAGGAACTAAGGAGTTGGGAATGACGTGAACTAGTTCGCATATTTTGAATGTGGGAGCGCTCTTTTGAACTAGTTCGTTCGCGAACTACACAAGCCTAGTACTTTTATTCAAATCAACCCCCAGCTTAACCCTCACGATACCCAGGGTTATTCAGCTAGTTTGACACAAAGAGTTGTGGGATCCAAAACTTATTGTTTTGGGTCTTTATTTTTAAGGGGGGGGGAAATCATCGAATGACTGCTCCCGCTTGGGTGAGACGGGAGGGAGTGTTAGATTCTTACTGACTAAAAACCACCTCGTTCCTTCTCCTGCACGTCGAGCCGGAGCCCCGGTAACGTTAGGTTCTCCGCGACTCCGAATTGGCATCAGCCTGGATGGGGATCCGAGGTGGTCTGATGGCTCTTTAGGGCGCGCGACGCGCCATACGCTCGGGATTGTTTTGGGTCTAGGTGTTATAAATGATTGTATGCTCGTAAACGCACCCATGACATAGTTTTTATTATGAAAACATACCGATTCTACATTTCCATATCATGAGAAAGTAGCATTTTATGTCCTTATAGTTAAATTATGGCAAAATCCTCCGTGCAACTTTTAAAGATCCCTAAAAAATATTCGTATCTTTTACTTAAATCGAGTAATAAAAACATAAATTTAATATTCAATTTATACTCAATAATAGCGCGTAGAAATTCGATAACCTTGAGTTATGTTATTACAGTGAAAGTTTATAATAATATGATCGGGTGTAGATATAACGCTGATCTGATATTCTAACATGTTCAAGCTTGCACGGAAAAACACCCTAAGGCTGACAATCCATTGCGGCGGTGGAAAATAACTAAAATTATCTTTTGTCAGAAGATCTTTTGTCAGAAGTAAACTTTAGGCTTCGTACTTTATTGAACCCTTATATATAGATAATATAGTTTAAATTCGGGATAGCTTTCAAGGTTAGACAAAATATTCCAACGTTTTGATACTTCGTAATATAATCTAAACTAAATTCAATAAAATAACAACACAAAATCTGTAGTCTAGAATTGTTCTCTACAAAAAATATTTATGTTATTCGTCCTAACACTAAAATCTGTACGTAATTACGGTTAAACTAATTATAGTCTCACTGTAATTATAATATAACATCACCCCTTGTATCCTCGAAAGGGTAGGTGGAGGTGCACATTACGGCAATTAATGCTAGTGTACAATGTAACACCCAGTTTTGATTATTTATCTTATGAGTCCCATGTAGTAGGAGGTGACTTTATCGCCATATACCAGACACAATTCCAAACTCCGTGCTACTACTGAGAATTTTTTAAATCCATTTTTATAATATTAGTAGTTTAACAGTAATTATCAAACAAAAACATAAAATACGTGAATTCCAAGACCTTCAGCAGGAACAAAGACATTAAATAACATAGACGTTATTGGACCTTATAATTTTTCTTCGTTTCGTCTCGCGTCATTCGAGTACGCCGCAGTGAACTTACAGCGTTAGCAGCAAGTAGGTAATATAAAAATGCAGAACCAAGCTATCGTTACGTTGAAGGCCTGAACGATTGAGGTATCATGAGCTAAGGAAGTAAGTACTAGAGATAACAAGCGGGAGCATCTTTTGAAGCAATGATGGCATGTTACAATGTTGATATTGGAGGTATAATGAAGCGCGGTTTGAAGGTGAGATGTATTGTAGGCTAGTATCACAATATTTTTATGTATCGTCGCTGTTGATCTATGTTGTGGGAGTATTTTCGTCAATGTGTAAAGTTTTTAGTTTAAAAACGTAAAGTATTTAATATCGCATAATATAAGTTACGTTTTAATTAAGTATCAGGAATAGATTAAGTAATGTCGTGGTGGCCCGGAGGTTTAAGACACCCGCTTCTCATGCATAAGGGCGCGGTTTCAGCAAGTGTCTACCTATGACTTATATATTTATACATTTAGATACCCTAATTAATTAATAGGTAATTGGGCCTCCGGTAACTTCACTCACGCGACAAAACACAACAAAAGCGTTGTTTCACGTCGGTTTGCTGTAAAGCCGTGGTATCACTACGGTCGAGCTGGCCCATTCATGCCGAAGCAGAGCTCTCCCACACTTATATTATAAGGAGACAGATGTAAGCAAAGCCCCCATGGCTTGTTATTAATAGCGCTGACTTAGGAGTCGAATGTCGCGAACTCAAGTTTGACAAAACGTGCACTTACTGTGATTCATACCACCATCATTGATCAAAACAGTTGAAGGAATATATAATACTAGCTTTTGCCCGCGACTTCGTACGCACAATCCCGTTTTCTCTGCTTCCCATAAGATTGTCAGGATTTTTTTTATCGTAAAAACCTTCTCCTGACAATATCCATGTCAGACTTAAGATATTTGTTTTCTCTTGTTTTTTTTTTATTTTTATTTTAGTACGTTCTGTTATTTGTATGTTGCGTAAAGTATGTCTTTACATTATTCTCATATGTGTGTACAATATTGGAATATGTATTAAAACAAACTTTTTTTTTAAAGGGTAACGAATGGAGTTTCTTGCTCGTTCTTCTCCACTTGAATCGACATTTTGGAACGAGCGCCTAGCTTCACTGACGGACAGACTGACAGACTATTATTTATTTCATATATGTTGACGTTTCAAAAGTACCAAATTATGGTTTAATTGAAATAAATGCTTTTGAGTTTGAGTTTGAATAACAAACATAACAACAAAAAAAAATCAGCCAAATCGGTCCAACCATTCTCAAGTTATGGCGTGACAACGAGAAACGGGTTCCATTTTTATATATATTATGTAAAAGATAATATTACAAAGAGACGAATGTAAACTAAGATCATAACTTCGATGATTTTCACCAAACACAAATTAGGCTGCGGAATTCATGTCCACACCTAATTAAAATTACAAAAAAAAAACAATCGGCATTCCATTTCCAATTATTATTTTCAAAATAATCAGACGTAGGGTTATTGTGCCGTTGCTGTTCTAAATTCGTAATATAAAATGCATTTTTAATATCAGAAAGAATTAAATATGAATTCTAAATTCAAATTACTTTTTTATACTCTTTTTCGAACGTAATTGTTTATGGTTTTATTGACCAAATACATAAATAGTTATACAACAAATATAAATTGAAAATTACCTCACATTGTGAACTGAATTATTGCAAGAATACTTAACATCGTACCAATAATACATTAATTGAAATATATACACATACTTTATGTATAATATAAAACATTTTAAATTGCAGATGCTTCTGCAAAACAATTTTTTGCACCACATTTAACTGTTTCAATCCACTCTCGCTATTATCAAATGCTTCGAATCCATTTAATGATTGATTTCATAAATTATCTACTCTTAGTTTTGATTATGAAATATTATTTCTTTTTATACAGAATTTGGCTAAACGCCAAAACCACGGAACTCCGTGTCGGGAATTTCTTCAACAATTGCCAAGTTGGAATAGCGTTATCATATCTGACAAACTCCTTTACATTTACATTTATACCTACACAAGAATTTGCGAGGTAAGTTTCCGATAAAAAAGATAAAAGGCTCAAAGCATTAAGGACCAGAAATAATATTATTTTCTCAAAGAAAAACCATCTAAATAACATAAAATACGCACATTTTTACAAAACAGTTAAGCTTATTCACGTTTAAAAAAGGTTTACTTCAAAAGCAGTCTTCCAAAGATAATATAATAAACTCGCATCTAATGAAAAAGTGTTCACTAATCTTTATGGTTTACATTTTCAAAATAAGAACGTAGGCTGCGACGGCCAGCGTAGGCGAGCGTTCTTCACGCTCAGTCTGTATACAGCTGGCGACCGATGCGAACCTCTGTACCGGTGTCAGTCGACAACAACACGATAAACAGCGAAACTTGGCTCTAAGCAATATTTCCATAGTCAGGGACAGTATTTTCAAAAAACGAATTACAATCATTTTCTCCTTGATTATCCAGCCGTTCGAATTTCAAACAAACCGGATAACAATTTAAAAAGTGCGGCTATTCTTTCTTTTTTGTTTTTCGAGGTTGCATTTTTATATTTTTTGTGATAGTTTTGTATAAAATATCAGACAGTGAGTTTAAGTTGACATTGAGTATTAAACTTTCTTTATTTGTGGAGTTTTACGTGTGTTTTAGTGGAACAGCAGAATAAATACGGCGCCTCGATAAAGGTTTGTGAATTTTTGCTTTTTTTTGGTACCTATTAAGTATTGTATAAAATTCAAAATAAGAATGTTGATGCAAAAATGTGATATTTAATTTTTTAAAAAGTAATAATATTGTGATTCTGACGATTCTGCAGAAAATGTTCATAAAATTCACAAATAACTTTTTGGATAATTATAATGTGATTTTTATCTCGTCTGCCGTTATGGAGAATATTATTTTCCTTTTTTTAATAATAATGTTTAAATTATGTTAAAAATATTATATGTTCTACGAGCCTTTTAGTAAATTAATGTTTATTATACAATAACTGTATTTAATAAATTTATCTTCAAAATTAAATATACTTAAAAACGATGATTAGTAAGGTAAATGATAGAAAAAATAATTCTTAATTAAAGAGATAGTCAGCGGATTATTCCATCACTCATATTCCGGAGTGCATTTATTAGGATTATAAATTATTAGGTTAATAGATAATAGCGTACGGGACTTAAAATCAATATATATTACTTTTTTGTGATCAGTATCCTTTTTATAAAATTACAGACGGCCTTAAGTATCTGTACGCCATTATTGGACTATATACCACTAACTTTAAACCATTTATTAGTCAAATGGAACAACCGTACAAATAAAGCCGTAGATACTATAAGTAAAATTGATCACATTACATTCTCAACTTTACATCAGTTCCACAAAGTCGTCCTAAAATTGTCACCTTACCTTTCACAATTAGTAACACTAAACCCGCCATTTTAATTCCGCATAACAGGAAAATCAAGACATAAGAAACTTTTAACGACTAAAATCTGGTTCCGAAACTAAGTTCCGTAATGTCATTATAGCTTTTCGAGTTCATTTCGACGTCAAAAGAGCTCGTAGTTACACGAAAAGAGTTCATTTTAATCAAAAACCCTTTAATCAACCAGTCCTAATGTCAAATTTCGCGTATAAAGCGAATGCCGTTGTAATTTTCCGTATGCGGAAAAACGGACTTTTTTGACTAATTATACCTAAAGAGTTTTTATGAGGGTTACGTATTTTTTTAATTAAGAATTTTTACGTGACTTTTTTTTAGTATTCATTAAAAATTATTGGAATAAAGTCGAATGTTTTGAGAATAAATTCAGTCATTCTGTTTTTATCAAAACTAAGTAAATATCCTCAATACCATAAATAGTGAAAGGTGGGTGTTACATTGTACAGTGGTTATAATGTGCACCTCTGCCTACCGCTTCGGGAATAAAAGGCGTGATGTTATGTTATGTAAGTAAATATCTCTTGAGACTTCAAAGACATTCGAAATAGATTTAAGATAAAAAAAACATAGGCACTTTAGCGTAGTCGAAATTGCACAAATAAATGGTCAATAGCAAAACTTATAGAATCAATTTTTATTCTTCAAAAGCGGGCTATCCGAGCAATATATAACTTACGCCGTTGCGAATCGCTAAGAGAATTGTTTAAAACGATAAACATCTTAACGGTGCCCTGTCAATACATATATGAAAATATAATGTATGTAAGAAAGAATAGGCAATTGTTCGAAAAAAGAAGCGATAGACACAATCTTAATACTAGAGGCAAGAATAAGTTAGCTGTACTGCAATTCAGACTGTCCAAGGTACAGAAATCCTTTATGGGGTTAGGTATTAAATGCTATAATAACATACCAAATAGCATATTTGATCTCAATGAAAGTAAATTTAAAACATATATTAAGCGCGAATTATGTAAACAAGCTTACTACAGGGTGATTGATTATCTTGAGGATAGGAATGCTTGGCAGCGTGTTGGTTCGGCTCCACTGGACAATACTCAAATGTAGTCAGTACCTAGTTCAGATTACGATAATAGGTAATTTAACACTTTGATTCCGATGAAGGCAATCTATTTTTCTTGTGGCATCGATCATTTCTTTCTTTATTTAAACAATAGTTTATTTTTTATTTTTTTCTTGTATAGAAGCACTATTTTATATGGATTGTCAGTATACATATGTGAGGACCATGTCAGACTTAAGATATTTGTTTTCTCTTGGTTTTGTTTTTTTTTTCTATTTTAGTATGTTCTGTTATTTGTATGTTGCGTCAGGTATGTCTTTACATTATTCTCACATGTGTGTACAATATTGGAATATGTATCAGAGCAATGTAAAACAGACTTTTTTTAAAAAGAGTAACGAATGGAGTTTCTTGCTCGTTCTTCTCCACTCGAATCGACATTTTGGAACGAGCGCCTAGCTTCACTGACGGACAGACTGACAGACTATTATATATCTCATATTTGTTGACGTTTCAAAAGTACCAAATTATGGTCTAATTGAAATAAATGCTTTTGAGTTTGAGTTTGAGTTTATAATTACATACAATCTAGCTGTCACTTAAATATTTCAAATCTATCTCGTTTACAAATCAAAATAAACCCAAGCTTAGAGAATAAAGAAAATCCTTCCATTGTATAAGTACTTAACTGCGTTTAATGTGGCAATCAACGAAAGGGACGCCTTAAGCCATTAACTAACGGGACAACCCACTTAATTATTTACTTTAACTAGTATAAGAAGTTCGGAAAATCAATAGAATCCTTTGCTATTTACTATGGGAATTCATGCCCAAAGGGTACAGATTAAAATGGGTTTAAACATCTTTAGAGAACTGACGGACAGATATTGCGTAAATACTGTTTGACCTTCAAGATTTTGACTTGAATATTTGACTATTGAAGTAAATGAAATTCAAAATCTTGTTTTGTTTTGAACATATAAAGCTATGTTAAGTGATTATTTCTTCTTCAAAAAGGAGAAAAGAAGAATTCCCGATATGGCGGAGCAGCCGTATTATAATATCTATAATTGTAATCAAATACATTTGTATGTATTTACTTAAAATGGGTCTCGAGAAACAGACTTTTTAATATAAATAAGTAAATATGAATAAAGGAAGCTGACAAGATATTGACTATGTGACCTACAAAATAGTCAATATTTTTAGGTTATACTTGTGAACCAACTCAGTTTGACTACGACTGGAGTCTAAAGTATCTAATAGGTGATTTTAGAAAACTCAATGATTCCTCTAATTGTCCTATAATAAAATTTATGCTTATGTTATATTTACTTAGCTGTAAGTTTCCCAAACATTGTAAAATAAAATAAAATAAAATCCCTTGCAACATGCGTAGTTTAGAACACCTTTACTAACGAGATAGTAGAATTTTGTAGTAAATACTGATTTCAACCTCCTTTTCGTGAAGTCAGTTAATGCACGAAAATCTGCTCTAACACTTCAATGTTTTGTAGTTGAGTAAATTTTTTATCAACATAATCAATGCTTTCATATTACAGATAATCTTGATACCAGGATTTGGGTCACCATGTCCCATTGTAAAATATGTTTTATTGATAGGATTACGTTTTCCATAGAATCCGCCTGCTAGTGACAACAGGAAAACGAAGTGCTTCCTAAGTGAACGTTAAATTGTGGTTTATATTTATTTTTCTTAAATTATTGTATTTTCACGAACTTTATTATCCTTTCATTTTAAAAGAATTACAGTACCTATATTGCTATGAATATGAATATGACTGCCTCGTTGGCCGAATGGTCGTAAGTGCGACTGCCGGGCAAGGGGTCTCGGGTTCGATTCCCGGGTCGGGCAAAGTATTACTGTTTTTTTTTAATATTCTCAGTAGTAGCACGGAGTCTGGAATTGTGCCCGGTATATGGCATTAGGCTCACCCCCTATTACATGGGATTCATAACATAAATAGTGAAAAGTGGACTCTGTCTACCCCTTCGGAGATAAAAAGCGTGATGTTATGTTATGTTGCTATGAATATATTCGGTAGTTCAAAATCCTGGTTTATATCGTAAACAAATTGCAAAATAATTTTTAACTTTGACATTACACAATAACACTTCAGTAGGTATTGATTCTATATTCTACAAAATTCATGTACCTATTGTAGTTTTATGAATTCGAGCCATTCTCTGTGAATAAATGTGCGAAGTTAACAGCGCGGTACCAATCACTACCTAACTATGAATATGAATAAAAATGTGTTGATATCATACATGTATCGTATCAAAAATTTCCAAGCTAACAAGGAGGTTCATTAGCCATTCTGTAAATGGGCGGGATTAGCTCGCAACTGCGCCGATGAATAGCTACCATAAAAGACAAAAAATGTTTTAAAGCTGCCAGCATAAAAGTTGGGTTTGAACGAAATAAAAATCCATTTTTTTTTTTCAATAATTCAAAATGGCGAGTATGGATCGTGGAACATATTTTAGTTTGTATTCAAAAGAGTCTAAAAAAATATAATTATTTCCAACAATCAATGAATGGATCTTATTATGTTTTTCTACTAAATTTAAAACAAAAGATATTTGTCAAATTGTTTACTTTCTTCTTTGAGAGTTCTTTTTTTAATTTGACAATAAAAATTCTATATCCTTTTATTTTATTGAGATTATTTTGAGTATGAATCTAAAATAGATTAGACTTTTTTAAGGTGGGAAAATCATGCAATGACTACTCCCATCTAGGTGAGATGGGAGACAGTGTCAGACTCTTACTGACTAAAACCACCCCGTTCCTACTCCTGCACTTCGAGCCGGAGCTCCGGCAACCCGTTTTCCGCGGCTCCGTATATATATCAGACCTATTGGGCCCCATCTGTGGTGGTCCGATGTCACTTTTTTCTATGGCATTGACATTCACATAAGTTTTCGTGTTCCATAAAAACATCTCGGGGAGGTACACCAAAAATATAATGGTCCTATCTGTGTCGTAGTTTATAAAACTTACCATGTATCGAAAGTTTCTTCCCGCAGGTCATAAGACTATTGTTGTCCCAAAAATTTATTAATAACCAACTTTTGTTTGCGATTTTGCTTAAGTGAAAAAGTAACTAGCGAAAACTAATTTGAAGGCTTAAAAAGTACACTAAAATGAATCATTGATTTTAGTATTGCAGATGTATATAATTATACAATTT